AGATCACGTCAAAGAAGCAGAAGTATGCAGATGCAGATATAGCGAGAGCAGCAGCAGTCGCAGCCGCCGTAGAGTGTGTAGAGAGAGGAGGTGCTAGGAGTGGAGTCCAGATTGCATATCAGCTTTCACCAGCATAGAGGGCAGCTATTGAGCAGGTTAAGCGTCGTCATGGTAGTCCAGCTAGGACTGTCATGCTTGAGGGATGCCATGTTGCTTTGGAGGAGACTCAGCCTCAGGGGGAGTCACAGCAGCAGGCACAACCACTAGTGTAGCCAGAGGGTGCTGAGCAGACTCAGGAGGGAGAGTAGACAGAGGAGATAGAGCAGGCATCTTAGCCACAGCTTCGCCGCTCTAGTCATACCCGTACCCAGGTGACACCGAGGCTAGAGACATAGAGGAGGGGTTCTCGTCTGCCTCCTAGACCATAGGGTCCGCCTCTAGTGACTCATCTGGATTTGAGGGCCACTACGGCCAAGCAGGTGCAGTAGCTCAGGTTTGTTTCGTTCAAGGACTGGTTCCCATCGAGGAGGGATGAGCGTGCTTCAGAGGGGTTCTATACACCACTGCAGGAGGATTTCTATAATGCATATCTTAATAGTGGGGTTGCATTTAGGTCTCAGAGGGTTTGCTCCATTGAGTCCATTGTAGCAGCAGCAGGAGAGCAGATTCGTCGTTGCCTATCTTATCCACCAGGGCTGACAGATTTACTTGGATAGACAGGCAGATATGTCCCATCATGGGTGCGTGAGTTCTACGCTTCACTCTATATTGACCCAAGCCACAGAGGCTGCGATTACAGGCTGATGAGCTTTAGGGTCTGAGATATCCTCAGGTTATAGGGTTCACCCATCCTCATTCACGAGGTTTGTTATGGACATACAGAGCCTCCTAGATGCCCTCACGGCGGTCTTGTGCCTCCCACAGATCTCATCCGACCTTGCTTCACAGAGCCATTCGGTGAGGGGTCGAGCAGGACACCCAGAGACCTCACTCCTATAGCTAGACTGCTTGATGCTATCATGAGGAGGACCCTGCTTCCGAGGATGGGATATCGCGAGGGCTTGACTCGCATTCAGTTATGGCTGCTGAACGCTCTGATGCAGCAGACTGTGTTTGATATTTGGGATCTCATACTATCAGAGATGGAGGATAACCTTGTAGAGGGGTTTAGGGGTCATCATCAGCTGCCTTATGCCCACTGGATTACATTTCTGATTTACAGGGCAGTTACAATGAGGACTCCTAAGATGTTGGTAGAGTATTCTGGTGCTACTACCAAGTTCCCTGCATATAACATGACCCAGATGCTCTGTCATAGCAGGCCAAGGGCACCTAGCTAGCTGAGCCATCGCCTAGAGGTGCCAGAGACTGTAGCCTAGCAGGATGAGACTATTAGGGGCATTACAGCTATAGAGGAGGAGTAGTTAGATGCTCAGCAGGAGGGTATGGTCAAGAGCGACCCCAGCGACAGTTCAGATGATGATTATCAGGATATCCCTCAGATGCCTCCTCAATGACATGACCATGAGACCGGTAGCTCCAGTTTAGCTCCACCAGCACCGCCGATAGACCCCGCTCTTCTTGCTATACTTGAGCGGATGAGGCAGGATCAGGCTCGCTAGGCCCAGGAGACCACAGCTACATTTGCATAGTTTTAGGCCAGACAGGATGAGTTCTAGCGACAGCAGCAGGCTATATAGTAGCAGCAGCAGGCCATGCAGCAATAGTTACTTGGATTCATGCAGCATGTTGTCTCTGTTATTGGGGCTCCACCGCCATAGCTTATATCTCAGCTTGGCCAGCCTGCCACCACTTCACAGACTCCAGTTGTACAGCCCAGTGGGCTTCAGAGTCAGGGATAGCCCACGGCACAGTTTCCTTCACCTACAGAGCAAATGTCCTAGTGGTTTGTCTCGCCAGTGCCAGCCCTACAAGCTCACAGCTCTTTATACGGGCTTCACTCTGCCTTAGAGTTCCTCAGTGCTCATCCTAGTTTCCAGGAGCCTTGGTGCGGCATTCAGTGAGTTGACAAGGCAGCCTACACCGCCAGAGCTACATGTCCCTAGTCCTTCCATAGTTGCTCCTAGTACTAGGACTACAGAGACGCTCCCATCATTAGTTGCATCATCAGAGCCACCTGCTACAGTCATACCTGCAGAGTCACAGGTTGCACTAGTTCTAGAGTAGACCCAGACCGCTTCATCGTCACTTCCAGCGATAGAGGGTTAGACAACTCAGAGCTCAAGATCAGATGATGATGGCACACAGTTCTAGATCGCTCACCGCACCTCAGCGCCCGACTCATCCGCTGCAGCCCCACCGACTGACCCTTAGGTTTTGGTGTTTGACGCCAAAGGGGGAAAGGGATCGAGTATGATAGACTTAGGGGGAGCGATACATTTAGGGGGAGCTTATCTATTACATTTGGATTTTTATGTGTGATACACTATTATGCATTCATGTTTACTTTCATGCATCGAACTATATTTATGTGATAGTGATATCTACGTGATGTGATATTTATGTGATATGTGACATGTGTGCTCTCTACTTTGAATTATTTATATGTCATGTCACTTGCATTTGTTTTGCTTCCGTGTTTTACTCCGATGCAAATGAGCTTTATTTCTTGTACTCATGCTTATTTCATATCTATTGAGTACATCATGTTGGCTTGGGTCATATAAGCTTGCCTAACTCTTTTGTTCTTATTGTCAAAAGCTTATATGAACCAAGCATGTTGAAAACCTCATCTCTTTTACATACTCGAGGTTGTATTGTCATCAATCACCAAAAAGGGGGAGATTAAAAGCATCTAGGCCCCTAGTTGGGTTTCGGTGATTAATGACAATACGAGATTACTATGACTAACGTGTGTTTTGCAGATGCAATTAAGTTAGGTCATGATAATATAAATTGATTGGTCAATCATGGTTGTCATGCCCCTACGATGGAAATCGTTTCAGTTTTCAAAGGATGGATGACAAGGTTAAGGATGGACTAGTTCTAAGTGTCGTTTGGTGTTGAACAGACACTTAGAGTAGTTTAGGACTTTATTTTTCCTTTATCCATACTATTAAGGTGGGTATGGACGGGTAGCTTGACCTAGGTAAGTCTAGTGGGTTAGGTGTGGTGCACACTTGTCAAATTCAGCACTAGGTAGCTCCTAAATAGCCCTAAGATCAATTGGAGCAAACTTCATTCACATATGATTGTGAGTTGGAAGTGAATGGAGGGTTAAATGTTGACCGGACGCTGGTTCCGGTGTGACCGGACGCTGGCGCAGAGTCCGGTCAGTTCATTTGATCAAGGTGAAGTCGTCTGAATGCGACCGGACGCTGAGTGAAATTTGACTGGACACTGGGTGCTAGAGTCCGGTCAACATCAGTAAGGTTCCAGAGAGCAGTTTTTGTGACCGGACGCATCTGGTCAGTGCTGACCGGATGCTAGTCAGTGTCCGATCACAACTTAACTGCTCGGTGGTGGGGAGAACTGACCAGAGCGTTCGGTCACCCCATAGTGGAACATAACGGTTCCTTTTGAATGAGGGGTTATAAATACTTCCTCTATTCACTCAAGGGATGACTTTTGCTCATTTCAATAGCTGAGAAACACCCTTGAGAGTGCCAAGAAGAGCAAGGTCCTAGTGAGGTGATTGAGATTTGAGAATCCAAGAGAGAGGCCTCATTAGTGAAAGCAAAAGTAGCAAAGTGTGCATCCACCCTTCTCATTAGGCTTGTCATAGTCAAGTGAGAGTTCGTGCTTGTTACTCTTGGTGATCGCCATCACCTAGACGGCTTGGTGGTGATTGGGAGCTTGGTGATCATCCGGTGGAGCTTGTGGATGACCCAACTCAAGTTGTGAGCGGTTGTGGGTGATTCACCGTGACGGAGTGTCGAAGAATCAACCCATAGAGAGCACTTGATCCTTGCGCGGATCAAGGGGGAGCTACACCCTTGCGCGGGTGCTCCAACGAGGACTAGTGGGGAGTGGTGACTCTCTGATACCTCGACAAAACATCGCCGCGTTCCTCCTTCTCACTTTACTTTGAGCATTTACTTTGAGAAATTCAATTCTTGTCTTTACATTCATAGAATTGCCATGCTAGAGTAGGCTTGGAACTTAGGGTGCAAAACTTTTGTGTGGTAGAACATTAGAAACACTGTCTAGGCACAAGGGGTGAAGTGGGCTAAGTGTAGGCTTTAATTATTGCAAAGAATTTTAGAATTTGACCAATTCACCCCCCCTCTTCGGCATCTTGATCCTTTCACCCCACAAACCTGATTCCCTCAGCCCCCGATGCTGCTCAGCGCCGCCGATAATGGCGCGCACCCACCCTCTAAACCCGCCGTCAATCGCCTATAAAACACCCCCCCTCGGCTCCCCCTTCACAACAAGACACTCCACACTCAACACTAATCACCAGCATAAGCCCCCTATTCAAATGCCAACCTATTTCAACATTTTAAGAAAAAACCTGAGATAAGTGTGGCAAGCTGGAGACTATCGAAGAAAACATCAAGCAGGAGCCGGAGTACATTGTCAGAAGCAAGAAGCTGATAGTCTCAAGATGTGCTTAGATGAAGATGAGCTCACCATGACCATCTTTGCTATCCTAATTCCTACTATGGTGGCATCAATCATATTGGCTACGGCGACGACCACCACGGTTGAGTAGGAAGTTCTGGGGCACCGGCTATTATGATGCAGTGAAGGGGAGGTCTGCGCCACAGCCTCCGAGTATGTCATAATGCTGAAGGTTTTCATGTGAATTCTATTAATTCTTCGTAGCATACCTCTTACACTCGATGTTGATCACTGTGCTTCCTTGTAGGTCTTCAAAATTGTATGTGCGTCCACCCTGAATTTCTCCACTCCAACGCAACTTCACATAAATGGCCGTTCGGAGGTATGCTTTTGTGTGGTTTCAGACTTCTTTTTTAGACTACAGTCCTTGTTATTGTTGCATTGTGTCTTACATTCTTTGCCTTGTTATAGCCATGGCAGAGTTGTTGGACAATGCGGTGGATGAGGTAATTAAACATAATTATTGTTTTTTAAAACTTTAAATAGATTTATTGTTGAGCCATATTGATTATTCATAGGTAAATGTGTGACTGGATTTTTGTGTCAAACAGATAGAAACTGGTGGTGCTACAGCAACATTGTTGGACAAAGTCATCGACAAACGGCATGGATCACCAGCTTTACTAATTCAAGGTTTTGATTGTTATACTATAATTAATGTGATATCATTATTTTAAATGATATTTGATTGGATTAATAAACCAAAATACAAACTTATAAACTTTACGGTTTTTTATGAAGTTTGTTGGAACTACCCCTCAATAAAACACTTAAAGCAGCGATGAGTTTCACTTTTTATGACATGTGCTGTCGAATTTCCCTTTCAAAGGGAAAGCGCGATGATTTGCAATCTATAACACGTGCTTTGAAGTTGAACCTTCCAGGTTTGAACACAATACCTAGTTACCTACACACGATTTCTTCATCTAAAAAACCTACACGTGATTTCATTTTGGTAGTCACTTTATATCTGGATTCATGGTTTGAACTTTGAAACCTCAGACCGTGATACGCCATAGTTGGTTACCTGTGTGAGCAGGGTTATTCCAAGGAAAATACTGCTTGAAATTTTGTGAATATAGATTCCTATTTTTCATATTGAGAATGTTGACTGGACATCATTCTACCGAGAGAAGATTTGGATTTTTTTAGCAAACCGAGAGAAGATTTTGATGGAACTTCGTCTTGAGACGATCCACCAAAGAATTTTACCCAGGACGCTGCTTCTCGCGGCGGGCCCAAGAGAAAAAGAGAAAAAGGCCCAAGACCTTACACTCTCCTTGGCACCTTTCCCGTTCCTCTCCTCCAGTCCTCGCGACCCTTCTTCCTGCTCGAGAGTCCTGACCAAACCTGTTACATCCAGCCGACCAAATCGCTGTGGAAGGGCGCACCATGGAGGCGGCGGTGGAGAAGAAAGAGACGGAGCAGGAGGAGCAGCAGCTACCGCATGCGCGGAAGGATGACGCGCCCGCCGCCGCCGAGGAATACGAAGCGGATTCGAAGGAGACCGAGCGCCGCAACTGCGACCTCAAGGCCGGCCTCCACCCCCGTAGGGTAAGATCCCGCCGCAGCTAGATCTGTCGCACGCCTCAACTAACTGGAGACTTTGCACCCCACATCACCGTTGTGCGTGGTAGATTGTTTGGTGAGATTGTACAAGTGGGTTTTGACTCACTGAATTTTGGCTACGTGTCTGCAGCACAAGCTCGTGCTATGGTACACGCGCCGGACGCCTGGTGCGAGGTCGCAGGCGTACGAGGACAACATCAAGAAGATCATCGATTTCAGCACAGTATGTTTCTCGGATGGTTGTAGTTGTTGTGGGGGATTCCTAATTTCAGTTCAGTTGACTGTTGTTTCCTTTTTTTAATACTTGAAGGTCGAATCGTTCTGGGTTTGCTACTACCACCTTGCGCGTCCTTCTTCCCTGCCGAGTCCCACTGACCTTCATCTCTTCAAGGATGGCATTTGTCCCCTCTGGGAGGTATTATTCAGGACGTGTCATTCTCTGTTCTCTCTGTCTACGTGTTGTATGTCTGTCCCTGTGCCTAGTGGTTAATGGTTTTCAATTGGCCAGGATCCTGCAAATCAGAATGGTGGCAAGTGGATAATTAGATTCAAAAAGGCAGTTTCAGGTCGATTCTGGGAGGATTTGGTAAGTGAACTTGTGCTATCAATGTATGTGTTTTTACAAGATCGTTTGCTGCAGTTGATCATATTTTGGTTAAACCTCAAACTCATCCATTACCTGAGCATCTACTCTATGATAGTACATAGTTACTTTGGCCTGTTTGATACCATATGGAGAATGATCTTATCTTATTATGATCTTGTCCACCTTGGTAGCATCCTACCATTTTTTGTGATGAATCACTCTTTGATTGGCAAGCTATCATATGGAATGTCATGGTGATAGACCAACCCATTCTTTCATGTATTGAAAGCCAATCAAGATAATCTTTTCCTAGTCCTCTTTCGTTTACATAATGGAATAGAGTAGTAGTTATTCCTCATGACCAAAATGTAGATAAGAAATGAGGGGCATGATCAAGCCATTAAAATCATGTGATGGCAAGTTGAACCCATGATGAAACAAAACAAGCTTGATGGTAGGATTGTTTTTATGCTGCGAGACATGTTCTAGTGTGGATCAATTTGAAAGTTGAAACTAGTTCCAACCATATTCTCTGCTGTTATATGTTATTATGGATGAGCTTTCTTGCATGCCATATCTATAGTTTACACGGTTCTACTGAGCCATATTTCTTCAATATGTTTGTTGTTGCTTAAATTAACTTAATTGAACTACATATTCATTTTGCCTGAACTTTTGTGCTGTGAGCTTTGATTTGGACTTTAATTGTGATTCGGCGATGGCATTGTGAATGTGATTCATTTCCTTACCTGCTAACATTTGTGAAAATAATATCAAATGTCATTTTGCTTGCCTCCCGCATGTGAACTTAATGAAATTTGCTTGCACAAAATGGATGCAAAATGTAGATCGATAGCCATAGTATCTGTGTTTTTACATGTTTGGCTCGACATATGTTTTCCAATCTCTATTGTGCAGATGTTTCCTTAGTTTCCAACTTGCTGTCTTTTTTTTTTAAATTAAAGAGCAACACGTGGATAATAGCTTGATGTCCAAGTTGATTGAATGGGCAATTGAACACTGTCAACAGGTTGCCTAATTTTGCACTCTAAAAACACTCATTCTTTGGTTCAATGGTTCAGTCATGCACAGTAATGAAGTTATTGAAGCATGGCATTCCATTTTGTTTCTTGCATTGTATGCTAGATGCTACTATGCCTTGGTGATGGATGAGTTCACAGGGGACATACAAAGAGAACCCTATGGTGTTTGCTTTTTTGCTGACGAGGTAGTGATCATGAAAGATGTGGGTGTTGGGCGTGAGTAGATAAGTAGAGTTGTGGCTGCAAACTCTAGAGTTAAAAGGTTGTAGATTTAGCAGAACTAAGACTGATTATATGAGGTGTGACTTCGGCACACTAGACATGAGGAGGGAGATGTTAGTTTGGAGGGTCAGGTACTGCCCAAGAAGGATATCTTTCGATGTTTTGGAATTTATGCCACTGAGAGATGGGGATATCAATGAGACGATGAAGATAAGAGACGAGGATATCGATGAAGATGTTAGCCATAGAATCAAATAGAACGGTCATAGACATTGACCTACTATGTTGTATGGTGCAGATTGTTGGCCTACTAAAACGCTTTGTTGTTGTCGTTACTTGTGTTATATGCTAGATGCCTAGATGCTACTAAATGGATGTTTCTGAAATTGATATTTTTTATGCCATCAAGTCATCAAGTGTATCTTTAAGTTTTGACTACTGATAATATAGTTATTACAAGATGGAGCATTTTTGCCAATCAGCCATGAATTAACATAGAACAATGAACAATCAACTGACCTTTTGTCCACTGGCAGGGTCACTTGAGGGCCCTTCTAGGTGCCGCCTCCTACCCTACATAGGCTTTTAGGAGTCTGTGTCAATGTGTAGTAGGTGCACCTCAGCTATCCCATACCATAGATAGGTTTGGGTGCCTACCCTAGATAAGTTTTTAGGAGTTTGTGTTGGTTTCACTATGTGCACGTGTGCACAGAGAACTACATTTTTGGCCCGCTACATGCATCCATCCACACCATGACAAAACACACATTAGGTACCCCTTGTGTATTAGACCTTTCACCCTGCTGATGGTAGTGCAGATGCATGGCCATATTTCACTTACTTAGTTGCTCTATTACTTCCATTGACCAGCTCATGTACTAACTTAATGGTCAATGGTGGAAGCCTCAGCCACAAAAAATGACAGCAGTTAACAGGAACCTATCTTGCAGGCCCACTTTCATTCGGCAAGGTGTTATGACCTACACACACACAAAGAAACATATATAACAATACATTAATGTAGCATGTAAACCCTTGCATCAGAGTTTGATGGATGCGATGTTTAGAAGCCATCATCACGGCCTGTCCATAGAGCTAAATAGGTAGAGTGGGTCAGGAATTGGGTTCACCAATTATGACCGAGTTCCATCGATAGGCCATGCTGCCTCTTTCTTGGTCGGCGAGAGGAAGCCCCATATGCGATCAATGTGTCCCTGTGGAGGGTCTGAGGACTACAAAAAAACACGCATCCAATGAAGTGTATGAACAATTGATGGGCCATGCATAAAAGGACAAAAAAATCATCTGCCCTTCCCAGGTAGGATAGTTACTACGGTAGGAGAAATTTAAACCACATGTGTCTTCTTCCCTTATATATAAATTTACTATCAGCTACTCCTTTACATGCAGGAAAGCTACTAGCATCTACTGTATTCCTTTGCATGCAAAAAATTTACTATCAGCTACTCCCCTGCATGCAGGAAATTTACTGTCAGCGGCAGGAATTTACAAGCGCATCTAATGCCTTGCATGAGGCGAGACAAAATGAGAAATAGGAACACAGCATGCAGGTGGCTGTAAGAAATAGGACAAAGGTACGGTTAGGTAGGTCATAACCCTCCTGTGTCCACATTTATGGCACACTACATGTTGCCCAAGTATACCACTTGGGTAGGTCATAAATCCCTTCCTGAGTCCACATTTATGAGACAATACAGGTTGTCTAGAACACCACTGTCATTTATGGTGCAGTCTAGTTTGTCCAATATAGCAATGCCACCCAAGTCCATTAAGTAGCCATTCTTGGGACCGCAGTGCGCAGACAGTTCGTGCATCCTTTGAATCCAGTCCCCTTATTGGAGTCTAGAACAAACATTGTGCAACATGCTAAGTGCTGAGCACATGGCAGCATTGGTTGGCAACCAGTTTTGCCAACCATGCCCACTGCACCATAGAGCCTGTAACTACATCTGCCTGGATTGCCAAGGACTACATCAAGAAGCTTTGTGCCTACATTGCCAAGTAGACCATGTATCCCACCAGACCCTACAGGTTCTAGGATTCGCCCTTTATACACAACCCTAAGCCTTCCTTTATGGCCATCCCTAAGTAGCTCATGTTTAATTAAATAACCGCCTAACTCATCGTGCAGGTGCTAAAGAAAGCAACCAGAGACGTGGTACGTGTATGAGATGTGTCGAGTCTCATTGACATATCTGAGGTGCAACAGTATGTCTGTAACGGGTATAAAGTGGTTTACCTCAAGAAATGGTCTGGTAATAAAGGCTCCGTGTTTAGGCCCAAGCTTCGGTACCTCATGATGTCTCCATGTGTTGGCTGCAGACGGAGACTCAAGAGTGCATACAAGTTTTGCTCCATTGGGTGCAAACACGTAGGTTCCTATTTCTTTTCTTTTAAAAAACAGTTATGGTCTTAAGCTTGGTGATCATTTCTTTGAGTCATTGTTATGTAGGAAGCGACTGCAACTCACACCACACAGGACGCTGGGCTGCCCAAGCGCCCATTCAAGCTGGAGGATGGCGCTGAATCTAGCTGCTCACTCAATAAGGTCACAGTGCTTCCAAGGACATCATGCAAGGGGCGGCCGATACGCGCGCCATTTGATTGAGCCATACGAAGTGGGGGAGGAGGAGCATACAGATGAGGGCCAGTATGGAGAACATACTATTGTAATCAGATACTTCGCTGCATGTCTATCAACGTTTGTAATATATGGATGCCGCAACTTAGATCCTGTTTTAGGTAGGGACCGGGCTACTGCATCGCATGGGCCACTTGTGCGCGTGCACTGCTGGTATGTTATCCATATGTTTAGCTTTCCAGCACGCAAATGATGCGTGGGCAAGGCCTAATTTCGTTTCTAAGAATGGAAGCAAGGGCTCGCATAATAGGTGATTACGTGTGTTGGTAATACTATGTTTTTTGGCCATGCGTGGGCAACATCTAAGATTTTCTGGATACGGCGACCCAATGATGGCGCGGGCGCGCGACAGCAGCCATCGACCGGCTTGCCAGGCAGGGTAGGGCCCAACCTACCAGGGGTGCGAGCACGCGGCTTCCGCCTGGAGGTGGCCGCCGGAAAGTGGTAGGGGGCAGCGGCGCGGCCGGGCCGGGGCCTGGGCCGGCACACAGGCAACCCGGCTTGGGCGCTGAGCTGGGGCCGACTGGCGCTTGGGCGCAGGAACCCGGCAGCTGGGTACGCAGGCAGCAGAGGCTGGGCAAGTAGCGGACAAGCAGCCAAGGCTGTAGCGCTACATGGGTTGTCTGTTTAGGCCATTCATTTTCAGGTGCACGCAATTGATCTTTGGTAACTATGATTGGTACACATGCTAATCTGTTTTTGTGATTTGATGGAGAATGACGTATCGAGGAACCTAAGGTCATCGTCATGCCGGCCTCCGCCAGCGCGCCGAGCTGGGACGACCGGCTCTTGGCCGCAGGAACTCGCCAGCGCGCCGAGCTTAGTATATATTGAACTCAGAACTATGAAGTACAGTGAAATCAGCAAGGAGACACAGTTAATATCAATAATCACGTTACACAGACCAACTGCTTCTCCTTAACCTACTACAGTCCACAGAGTGTCCAGGATGATCTCCCGCAGCGCGCGCCTTGACGCCTCCACGTCGCGCCACGCAACAAGCGGATGTGAGAGCAGCTGTGCCACCGTGGCGCACCGCGCCGGCTCCCTGTGCATCAACTAAATGGAACATACGTGGACACCCTGGGAGGCCGCCTAGACGGCGTGCCTTCATATCTCTAAATATATATATGTGTGGGGATGATGCAGAAGCTGCATGCATCAAGTCCACCGCCGAAACCTAAACAATGCCGCTCTGGCAGCCTGCAACTTCTTGGATTTACATAAGCACAACATCTTTGAGTTCCAGGCATGAGTCGTATATAGGTCACAGACTCACAGTGAACAAGAATGAGATACTATAGTATCTGACCCAAAAAAAATAGTAATAA